CATTTCCTGAAAGTGCTATATAAATGGAGGTGTCTGGGAGTCTAGGAGTGTCTTAGATCCTCAACCAAATAACACGCTGTCTGAGGGCAGGGCCTCCAACCTGTGCTGTCATCCTTTCCCACCTCCTAGCATAATGTTAGACCCTGGATAAACATTTGGTGAGTTAATGCATGAAAAAAGGAATGGATGCCGGAGACTGAGACGTCACATGCTAATATTGTCTATTCTGGACCTACCTCTCTGTCCCGTTTGCACTGCGTCTGCGCCCAAACACAATTCTGTGAAATGGAAGAAAAATGCTGAAATGTAAGCAAACCATCTTGAAGGTCCTTGATAATTCTAAGAACCAAGAGGAAAACAGAGTAGGGAAATTGGCAAGAGCACACTTCCATATTTTTATATTGTTTGTGTTTTAGAGTGAAAATGCTGTTTTTATGACCCTGTAATTTGGAGGCTAACGTGTGTGCCATTTCTTGGAAAAGTCGCAACCTTAGGAAATAAAGAGCTTTCGTAGTCTTTAATCAGAAGGATCTTCTTGAAAATGCAAGATGCAATTGTTTAAAGAGAAAAATAAATACTTTCCATCAAATCGTGGACATTATGATTTTTTAAAATTCAAATTGCTTTCTAAATCAAAGATTAGCCCATTTATTTGAATGGCAAGCTCTCAGAAAAATCTTGGGAGTTAATAATCAACTTACTGTAGCAATGCTAAAGCCCATCATTGATCTGTGTTTATTTTAATAAATCTTATTTTTTGGTACGTGCCCCTAGCGGGACCCGAACCCGGGACTCTCTGGTCCACAGGCCAATACTCCAACTGCTGAGCCAAACTGGCCAGGGCTATTTTACTAAATCTTTACTACACATAGTGCACAACTGAGCGGTATTATAACCTGGGCAAAGTCACTTATCTTGTATAAAAACTACAAAACGAGAATTATAATTCATGTGTAAAAACAGTTTTATTTTTAAAATGTCTATTGTTATGAGACTGCCTCTGTTTCTGGAAAGGTCTTGGTGCATTTTGAAACAATCTTTCCATCTGACTCAATCTTTGAAGCAATGACAAAATTAAAATTATATCTGTTATCTGCCTGGATACACCTGTTCTAATGAATATCTTTCTAAAAAATAAATTATGTACTGTCAGAATTATAGGAAAATAAATAACAGGTTTTGGAAATATTGTGTGAACATATATAACATTCATAACTCTTGGGTGACAGACCAATTGTTGTGGCATTTATATGCTGTTTGCATAATCAGTACTCCTACTGAGGTTAAAAAGAACTTTCTGTGCTTGACATTGCATGAGCATTTGTTGGGGGAAGCATACCTTTCCCTACGTTTCTGTAATACACATTTACAAACAGTGCTTTGTAGATAAACTTCCAAGAAATTTGATCTCACATTTGCCTGCTGTGCCTGGAGCCGGGACATGGTTGGGTTTGCAAGATGAAACAAATTAATGCTTATCAGTTTCCAAGCCAAGGTTTTAGTTAATGCGCCTCTGTGCCTTCCCACCCCCACTCTCTTCCCCAACTGCTGTTAAAGTTCAACCATTTGGGTTCTCTGTGCACCACAGTGAGACTATGATCGATACCATCGGGTACTGAAACTATGTTTTGCTATTGGGTCAGACGGCCAGGCAAGAGGAAAGCAGCGCCAACCCTATTACAGATCCCTGCCTCTAGGTAACTCTGGGAGGCCACCACCATGTAGTAAAGACCAATTCTCGTGTTGTTTACTTCTTATATAATCAGGATGCCAGGAATCACTGGACCTCCTACTAAGGACCTTTCACTATTAAGAAGACCTAGTCTAAGTGTCTCCTGGTAAAATCTAGTGTATTGTTCCTCATTTGACCTTTAAAGACCTTCTCTACTGGGTGGCTGATTGCTATAGCTCCTCCAAGGAGGATTTGGTCTCTTTATTGTAGTATATTGCCAGTAAGCATCTGTTATTTCAGCGGATCTGTCCTGCTGAAGTGGCCTTTGTAAATATGAACATTCCATCAGCCCAGCTCTCTTAGTTGAGACTTGGAGCTGACAAGGCCACAATTAGTCCTGTTTCCTGCCTGTTGAGTATATGCCCACTGTGAGTGATGTATGGATAAATCAGTGAGCCAACCATGAGTCCTAATAGCTTAGGAAATATTCATCAGAGCACTTTTCTCCTCCGGCTTCTGCGGTACTAGGCAGGCTTTATGAGGGAGTAGAAAAATAACCAGTGTGGATTGAGGCCCCTGTAGACTACAGCACCGACCGGAAGACTTGTATTTGAAATATGTGGTCAGAAATATGAACAACTGCATTGCTCACCAGAGCAATCATTTGATTTGCTTACATAAAGTTATGTTTACACATTCGGGCCAAGATAATCCCATTGTCAGTAATAACAATAAAAGAAGTCAAGTGTTCCAAGGAAAGTATAATTTTATTTTATTTTTTTACCTGAAGATCAGCATTTGATGACGTTATTCTAATCTTTAGAGCACCATCATGTTGTCTCTCCATCTAGCCTTTGGCTTCTCTGATTGCCCAGGTCATAATTAGTGCATTTGTACTAGTACATCACAGTCTCAGGGACATGGTAGGTATTTGAACATAATTTTGTGCCATGACTGAATGTTCGCTGCTGTTAGGGCATCTTCAGGAGCAACAGACAGACTTTTCTGTCTACTTTTACCTGGGACGTTCAGTAGAGAATCAGGCATGGTATGCATATTCTTTCTTACTAGTCTTTATCACTCACTTGACACTTGCTGTTTTTTTCTACCATTTCTAAATAATAAACAAGCATCTGTGGCATCCCTGGTCTAATCCCTGTGTCTGTGTGGGTTTTGTATTTTACTCATATCCTCCAGGTTCAGTGTTCTGTTGTGTGACTTTGTAGCCTCTGTACACCTCTCTTTTTGGAGTGCCTTGACCACCCTTTGTCGGTTATAGCTGGATTACTCATCAGTCTTCCTTCTGGACTGTCCGCTCTGTGAGGCAGCGGTCTGGATTTCTTCTCTATCCACAATGTCTAATGTGGTGTTTGACCCACTCTGGGTGTGTGTTGATGTTTATAGGATGAATGAATGAATGAACCAATAATTGGAATGAATGAATGAAATGAAATGAATGTGTCTGGGGTCAGGTCATCTTTAGCACTTGTTTTCAGAAGTTGGCTGGAAAAGGGAAAGCCTGTGGCACAAGGCACAAGGTTGTGGCAATTAGCACGTCATTAAGACCTGTCATCTGGCCTTGACTGCTACTGATGCGTGGTGCCTTGCTAATGTGTTTCTTATTGCCAAGGAAGGAGCTCAGAAATAAAATGAAAAATGATCCTTATATAGACATAGCACTAAAAATTAGATATCTGGTTGTGTAAATTTCCAAAAGCCTACAGGCATTGAGCTTGAACTCGATTAGATCAGGCCTTGTGTTTAAATAAAACATTTGAATGGCTTTTAAAATGCAGCTCATGGCTGTGGCTCTTTCTGGAGCGGTGCTGTGATATGAAAGGTTTCATTCAGGTCAAGGGCTTGAAGGTGACTGAAAAATTTAAAGGGGCCAAACAAAACATCAGTCAGATAATACATTTGATAAAACACATACATGTACAATTTTAAACAACGAGTGATTTAAAGTTTTATGTTAAGTAAAAACAATACATGTGGTATTAAATGAAAATAGTACCAAGAATATAATGTAATATACTTGATTCTTTTCTAGAGACAACTCTTAATATTTATATAGCTACCACATAAATCTGGGTACTGTAGTCATACCTCTAGTCTGTGATAAATCAACTTTAAATGGTATATGTTGACATCTACCCACTATGTAAAATGAAGATAAATTTAGTCATTTATATTCCTCCCTCTGTTCCTCCCAATATTTTATAATAAAGTTAGTATTTTTAAATTTTTTTTAATTTTTATTTTTTTTTGTGTGTAGTACGTGCCTCTAGCGGAAACCGAACCCGGGACTCCCTGGTCCGCAGGCCGATGCTCAACCGCTGAGCCAAACTGTCCAGGGCTAAAGTTACTATTTTTAATTCTTCTAAAAGAACTAAATATTTTATAATAAAGTTACTATTTTTAGTTCTTGGTCAGTGCTATAATCTTTAATAATTTACTTGAGTTTCCTTTTTGGGGGGGGATTCGTGTAATTTCTATTGTGTCTCTTGATGCCCCCTGTTGTAAGCTGATGATACTGGTGTCTTTACTACATTTCTCTCTTCCTGTTTCTTGTCTTACGTTCACCAACTTCTCTTTTACTTTTTCACGCCTTGTATAACAGTATTTACATTCTGATTTAAAGGGAAAATTGAAAACAGATGACAGTATGTTCTCTTAACTGATTAATGTTAGAGCTGGGATTACAACTTGGGGCTTTGACTCCCAATCTAGTGGGTTTTCTACAGATAAACTCATCAATTTGCCTATCAAGTATTTATTGACTGCCTATTCTCTACCATGCACCACATTAGGAACCAGTGATACAAAAAGAATAAGAAATGATCTCAAGTCTTATACTTAATAGTCAAGTAGGAAGAACAGATATGTAAACAAATAATAATATTGCTCAAGGGAAGGTGTTATCTAGTTTGGGTTTTTGGAGTTTTTTTATCCCACATGTCAGAGATTAGGGAAATTGATATAACTATTAGAAGTCATAGTTTTAACATGTTAAAGAAATGCAGTTTTACCCAGCTAATGTATGCATGTTTGAAAAATATGTAAGATTTTGCCAATATACTCTAAGGAAATACTTTTTAATTGTCTGTTTTAGATTAAATAGGAAATTTGAAAAATGTATATATTTATAAATATGTAATCTATCATGTTTTATATGCTCAACATGTTCCTATGTCAGAAGATCCAAATAGTCAGTTATACTTATAGATTTGCTTAGTATTTTGACTTCCACTCTGAGGCTTATGTATTTTGTATAGACCCTTTTTATGGTGACTTATGAACTTTTTTTTTTTCTTTCTCCCTCCCTTAGATCTTCATCACTGTGAATTGCCTGAGTACAGATTTCTCCTCCCAAAAAGGGGTGAAAGGACTTCCTTTGATGATTCAGATTGACACGTACAGTTATAATAATCGTAGTAATAAACCCATTCATAGAGCTTATTGCCAGATCAAAGTCTTCTGCGATAAAGTGAGTAATAATGACAGTTTGTCATAAAGGTATCTTTGTTATTAGATATTACTTTTAATGACATTTCCCTCTTGTCACCTTTCCTTGTCTAGTGGTGTCAAAATAATCACCCTATCAATCACAGTGGACGTGGTAATCTTTCATTTTCAATTTCTTTAAATATCTAGGGAGTCATCAGTCAACTGTATTTATTTTTTTAGTCAATCAATTTGACCACTAATTTAATAACTAATTGACATTGCATTATGCTGAGTCTGATTTACTTAGATAACTGAAATAATAGATAAATCATTTTTAATAAGTATTGGTCCTGTCCCAGAACATATCAATGTAACCTTTGTTATTCTATGGGGTAAGTGGGGTCTCATTTAGAGGTTTTTGGAGTGGAAATGGCACCTATAAAATATGTTTATTAGTAAACATGCACTCAGGAGGACATGTAGTTTTTGAATCTCCCTGAATCCCACCATAAGAGACAAAGCAATTAGGATAGCTAAGATTAAGATCCCATGATTATGTAACAAGAGCTCCTTATGCATCCCAAATATGAGTGGGATTAAGCATCAGCAATTTCAAGACTTGTGTGTTATCAGCATCTGTAGGGAACGCAAAGGGGCCACCTGATTGTGAAAGAACAGGACACCTACAAAATGGACCCCAGGTACTCACTGGAGAGTGAAGCGGCCCTCTGAGGTCTACTGTGCCAGTAAGATGTGTGAACGTTCTGGTTTAACAGTGACAGAGCAGGGAGAAGTGGGCCCTGTGAGCAGAGAGCAGAAAGTCACGAGAAGTGAGGAGAGAACACATGAACTAGAACTGCACTGGGTTTATGGGCATGCAGCATAGTGGTATATAAAAAATCTAGTGGTAATACCTAACATATCTAGTGACCTTTCAGATCGTGATGATTTCAGTTAGTGCCAAGCATCCAGCCATCAGAGCAGCAGGACACTCTCAGGGACAGTGAGTCGCCTCCATGATACAGACGCAAGTTAAGTGAATAGAGTTGTGTCAATGAGAAAACGGTGGGTCAGCGGGCATACGTAATTGCCCAGGGCCACACGGTGAAGAATTCAAGGAGCTGGATGCAGATACAGGTCTGATTCTAAACTCTTGTGAATTAGTAATTTTATACATAAAATGGAAAAATGACAACTGATGATTCAAAAACCCCAACAAAGAACCAAGGTAGACTTTCAAAACAAAACAAAAGAATCTGTTTGTATCTTGAATTTAGCATATTAAACATTGATAAAACATTTTTAGTGGTGTACAACATAGAATTGTAGAAGCACAACTGGGAGAGTATTTAAATAATCTGAATTCCCTTGCTTTGTTCCATATATTTCCAGGAGATTGTGGAGCCCCCTCCCCGAGTCTGCCTCTCGGAAGTGAGGGGTAAAATTGGAGGCAAGGAGAAAGGAGGGAAGGAGAGGATGAAAGCACTGGGCGATCATTTAACTTTATTTCCATGTTTAAAATTAAAAGTGGGGGAAAGAATGCTTAAAGGATATTTGTAAAATTATTTTTTTCTGCAGTATTGATGTGATAAACAAAAAATCAAAGTAAAAACGCAGAATGAATGCGGAGTGTTGTATTATGGGTCACGTTCATCCTAGAATAAGGACTAGAAGAGACTAAGAGGGTAAATAAAAGGATCAGTAATACCGTCTGTTTGAAAATATTTTTAAAAATATGTCCTGTAAAAGGGAGGGTGTGGAAAAGAGGATTGTGTGGGTTTATTCAAAGCATTTGTTTCCACAAGTCAAAATAGAGTAATCTGAAGCAAGGAATGAAATGGCTGAGAGAACAACTTATTTATGTGTGTATGTGTCTATAAAAACTAGAAAGAATCACAGCAACAAACACTTTCGCCAATCAGAAAATGAGTGATATTTCCTATAGCTCCTGTTTTAAATATCTGTCTAATACCTATCAGTGCTAACTAGAGGGAAACTATTGGAGGGTATTGGGAAATGTTGTCATTTGTTCCAAATTGCCAGTAATATAGTGTTTCATTCTAGTGGGCAGTTTTTAGTTTACATATCTTGATACCTAAGAAAATGAGGAAGAAAGGAAGAAACATTATGGGACAAGCAGGGTGTATTATCCTTAACCATTATCAATTTTTTTTAATAAGCTAGATACAAAAGTTTTTGCTATAAACTGTCATCATATTTACAACTCTAATTTAAAAAAAAAAAAAAAAAAAAGGTACAATTTACTCCTGGAAGATTAAAAAGAGAAAAATTTCAATTTTTGCACTTTTCAAATGGTTGTGTACATGTAAATGATTAATTTGAATTGTCCTCCAAAGCAAAATAATTAAGAGCTATTTCATTTAAAACTAAGTTTCTCCACCTTGATTTCTAATTAATATACTTGTGAAATTGCAGATGACAATAAAGCCTTCTCTGCCTTTTTTTGTTATAATCTTTCTATTGCAATACATATATCCATTAAAAATTCAGGATCTGTCTATATATCTACCTATAATTAATATCTATGTCTAAATCTTTATATCTATATTTAATTATTTCCATTATCTTTCATGAAAAATAAGAACTGAATAAATACAGCCAATAAGACAATTGCAAAGCTACTACGAAGGTTAAAAGAGAAAACTATCAAATTCAACTCAAAACTACAATAAGTAGTTAAAAGATCCACTACACACAAAAAAATCTAAAATAGGGTATCAATAACAAAGAATGAAGCAGGGAGTAAAAATGAAGTCCTTATAGGATATATTTGAACTTAAATGCCTTTTAGCTTATAACAGACTGTCAGAATTGCTGTCATCAACAAATCAACAAATAAGTGCTGGCAAGGGGGTAGAGAAAAGGGAACCCTCATGCATGTTGGTGGGGTTGTAAATTGGTGCAGGCACTATGGAAAACAGTATGGAGGGCCCTCAAAAAATTAAAAACAAAGATGACATACAATCTAGCAATTCCACTTCTGGGTATTTATCCAAAGAAAACAAAAACACTAATTCAAAAAGATATGTGTCGCCTATGCTCATTGCAGCATTACTAGCAACAGCCAAGATGTGGAAGCAACCCAGATGTCCATCAATAGATGAATCAATAATGACGATGTGGTACATATCCAAGGTGGGGCAAAATTAGATTTACAGTTGTTCATATGGAAAAAAAAATAAACTCTGTTTTGTGTACTCACAACTGTAAATCTATTTTTGCCCCACCCTATATACAATGGAATATTTACTCAGCAATAAAAAAGAGTAAAATTTACCATTTGTCACAACATGGATGGACCTAGAGAATATTATGCTAAGTGTAATGAGTGACAGAGAAAGACAAATACTGTATGATCTCACTTATATGTGGAATCTAAGAAAACAAAATAAGTGAATAAACAAAGAAAAATAAACAGACCCACAGAGAACAAGCTGACGATTCCCAAAAAGGGGAGGGGTTGGAGGATGGAAATGAAAAGAAACACAAGAATTATATTAATGCAAATAATAACTATATATTTTACAAAACTTGAGAAATAAGGTGACATTCTTTTTTTAAAAAATAGGTTTTTCCTTTATTAATCTTGTTTGAAATGAGATTTTTTCTCTTCTCATTTTTAATTTTTGTTTGAAGATGATGAAAACCTAAATATATTCCTTAAAACCATCTTTTTGGTAACTTGACCAACTTTATGCACATTTTAAAAACACATTTAAGAGGAACGATGTGTGTAAAAAAAATAAACAAAGATAGCCATTACCTCTCAAGAGGTGGCAAAAGTGATCACAATATAACCAGGAAATCTAAAGGCATATTTTTATTTTAAATATGTTTTTTGTTTGTTTGTTTTTTAATATTTTTTCTTTATTGATTTTAGAGAGAGAGGAAGGGAGAGGGAAAAAGAGATAGAAACATCGATGAGAGAGAACATCGACTGGCTGCCTCCTGTTTGCCCCCCACTGGGGATTGGGCCCACAACCTGGGCATATGTCCTGACCAGGAATCGAACCAGCAACTTCTTGGTGCATGGGTCAACGTTCAACCAGTGAGCCACACCAGCTGGGCTGCAGGCATATTTTTAAAATTTAATGCTCCATAGTGAACATTTGTGGGAGGGGGTTATTTTCAAATGTTAAATTTGGTATTTGTACCAAATTATACATATTATGCTCTTCTGGAAGAACTAGTCTTTTTTTTTTTTTTTTTTTTATCCTCACCCGAGGACATTTTTCCATTTTTTGTACAGATAGAGTGGAAGGGAGAGAGAGGAAGGGAGAGAAAGAGAGAAACATCGACGTGAAGGGACACATCGAGTGGCTGCCACCCGCACGACCAACCAGGGCTCGGGACAAACTGCAACCGAAGTACGTGCCCTTAGCGGGAACTGAACCCAGGTCTCTCCGGACCGCAGGCCGATGCTCTAACCGCTGAGCCAAACTGGCCAGGGCAGAACTAGTCTTTTTTTTTTTTACCTTTAATAAGACTGGAAAAAATATTTTCTAGAAGTTTCAGGTTACAACGAATCAACGGACAGAACAAAATTCTTGGGAGCTCATGTTCAAGGAAGCTTTCTCCATCTAAACTCAATGTACCAAAGTTTCCCGGGTCATTGTGGAGTCAAAGCTTCATTTTACAAACGAGAACGGTGGCTCTCCCAAGAGTGTTGGGACACTATCAGAATTGTTTTGTGCTGATAGCTCGGCGTTCTGGGCAGAACATTTTTTTATAGGCTCCAGGACTAGGCTCTATGTAGATCTAGTCTGATTCATGCTAATCCTTTATGTTAATGCCTATAAAATAATTAATAGGTGCCTTTATTTCCTAAAAATTTATATTGAACATATTTAAATCTTTAAACAAATTAATTCCAGATCTTTTCCTCATAGAAATAGTACAAAATAAAACTCTAATTTAGAAATAAAGTTGCTTGACAAATCTTGAGGGTGTGTCTTGGGTACATTTGTAATTTATATAGGTAGATAAAGTTTCACATTTCTATTTATATTAATCATACAGAGCTTCAAATACATAGGAAAATACCATATACGGACACAATAAAAAATGATTAATAGGAGCCTTTGGCTTATGTTTCACACCCATTTAAACAAAGTGATGTCTGTGCATTTAACACTTCTTTAACAACTTTATAATATTCTGAAAACATTATGTTATCTAAACATCAAAACCCTAGAAAACCTTGATATATCTTAAAGACTTTAAAAGCAAATATTTTTATATTTTATCTCTTGCTGTAAATTTCTGTGGTTTATGTATATCAATGACAACTCAAATTTTAAAAATAAAGCACTATAATTATATTTTTGTTAAGAGTGAATGGTAAGAAGTTTTTAGACATAAAAATACATATTTAAAATATGTTTAAAATATTATAAATTTACATTTCAAATCTTATCTATGTAAAGTTCATAGAACTTACCTGGGACAGAGTAAGTGCTACCTAAGAAATGACCTCTGAAGCTAGCTCCTTTATGATGCCTTCACTGACCACAATTCCAGTTGTGTCATGGACTGACTTGGGTCAGAATTGGGAATCTGCTTTCTTAAAAGCCAATGTGATAAGCAAAAACTATATCTGCTTGTTTTATTTCAAACCATTTGTGTTTTTTTCTATGAATTGCCTATTTCATGACCCTTGTCCATTTTTCTATTGGTATGTTAGGGTTTTTTGTTTGTTTGTTTGTTTTTTGTTTTTTTTATATATATTTTTTAATCCTCAACCGAGGACATTTTTCCATTTTTTTGTTCAGATAGAGCGGGAGGGAGAGAGAGGAAGAGAGAGAGAGAGAAACATCGATGTGAAGGGACACATCGAGTGGCTGCCACCCGCACGACCAACCAGGGCCGGGGACAAACTGCAACCGAGGTACGTGCCCTTAGCGGGAACCGAACCCGGGTCTCTCTGTACCGCAGGCCGATGCTCCAACTGCTGAGCCAAACCGGCCAGGGCTGTTTTTTGTTTTGAATCGTTATAGATTAAGGATTTAACACTTTGTGTGATATTTTATTGCAAGTATTTTCATCAATTTGTCCTTTGCCTTTTAAATGATTTATTTTTGCATAACAGAAGAATTTCATTTTAATATGATCAAATCTGTCTTTGGTGTGTGGTGATTTGGGGGCAGTCTCTGGAAGGTTAGAGGATGCTGGCCAGTTGTGTTTAGTGCTTCTTAATACGCTGCCCCAAAGGGCAGGAACTGTAAATGCAAATCTGAAATGTAGTTTAGTGTGAGGATGTCTATCTTGTTTTCATCTGTCTAGAGCATCATGAAAACATGGGTGCAGATGAATTCTTCTGCATTAAGATGGAGAGGGAAAGGAAAAGAAAACTGTTGAAACATCTGTATTTGAGAGGTGACAAGAGGAAGCTGAGTTAGCTAAGCTGCCATAGAAGAGTGACCAAAGAGAGGAGAGGATAATCAGGGAATCATCGAAGGCCAAGAAGAGATAGAAGGTGATGGTCAACTGATTAAATAAGATGGGATTTGGAGGAGAAGCCAATGAAAAAATTAGATTACAAGGAAAAGAGGAACAAAAAGGAGGTGAATAGACCAAACTTTAAAAAAAAAAAAAAATCAATCTTAGAGTGAGAAAGGGAAGGAGAAAGAGAGAGAGAAACAGAGAAACAGCCATCGGTTGCCCAGACTAGGGATTGAACCTGCAACCCGGATATGTGCCCTGACTGGGAATCGAACCCGCCACCTTTTGCTATACAGGACAATGCCCAACCAACTGAGCCACACCAGCCAGGGCTAGACCAAACTTTTTTCTTTTTGGCTGAATGAACACCATCTCCAAGACCTAGATGAACATGTTAAAACAAAAACACAAAATTGTACTGTATGTACAAAGTGATTTTATAGATAGCCAGCCTATCTAGTTTCCTTATGTCCTCCCTCATTTCCATTACTATAGTGATTATAAAATGTTCCAAGACAATGAGCAGAAGAAAAATGCTATAGGGAGTTCAAACTCAACTTGAATGCTTTCTCCATGCCTAGGAATGATGGTAACAGGCCAAGGCTTCATCTTAGGACATTATTATAATCGCTAATGTTTCTTAATTGGCTTCACTAAAATAGGGAGTTGGGTATGGTCTTTCTGTGTGGATTCATGATTGAAGTTGTGTAAATAGTCAAGATACTAAAAAGGAGAGAAATCTGGGAGAAGGTGGGACCATTCAGCCTTCAGAACCGAGCCCGACCTCACTGGAGTTCCTTCTCCCCATGTTTTGTCTCTTATCCCTGTGATTTGTGTGCAGCAGTAATTTTGTGTGCTCTGGTAACATGCCTGGCATTGTCTGTGTTTGTTTTTCCCTGTCAGGGAGCAGAAAGAAAAATCCGAGATGAAGAGAGGAAGCAAAACAGGAAGAAAGGGAAAGGCCAGGCCTCCCAAACCCAGTGCAACAACTGTGAGTGTCACTGAGAAGGGACGGGATCTACAGGTCCTCTAGGGAACAGGTGGGAAGAAGTGGGTTGCAGGTAAAACTACAGACATGCAGGGGATTGCTTGCTTTCCCCAGCAGTGGAGACAGAGCAAATTGTCCCTGTGAAAAGCAAATAGAGTCAATGAGCACAGAGTGTTTGCACTAGGAGGGACTTTGTAATATCAGAGAGACCAACACTTTTCTTCTACGGACAAGAAATCTAGGGCGCAGAGAGGGGTGGGGAGCTGGGTGAGAAAGGTGAGGGGTTTAAACAAACAAACAAATAAAAACTCAGACACAGAAAACAGTATGATTACCAGCGGGAAAAGGGGGTGGGGGTTAGAAGAAGAGGGTCGAGGGGCAATAAATGGTGACAGAAGGAGACTTGACTTGGGGTGGTGAACACACAATACAACATATAGATGATGTATTATAGAATTGTACCCTTGAAACCTATATGATTTTAACCAGTGTCACCCCAATAAATTCAATAAAAAGTAAAAAGAAATCTAGGACACAGCGAGGGACAGGAGGGTGTGAGGGGACCAGTGCTCCGCCTCAGGAGTGTTCACTCACAGTCTGAGCTTTTTCTCATGGTTGGGCAGTGGGAAGCGGGGTTCTTTTTTTTTTTTTTTTTTTTTTTATCCTCACCCGAGGACATTTTTCCATTTTTTGTTCAGGTAGAGTGGGAGGGAGAGAGAGGAACAGAGAGAGAGAGAGAGAGAAACATCGATGTGAAGGGACACATCGAGTGGCTGCCACCCGCACAGCCGACCAGGGCCGGGGACAAACTGCAACCGAGGTACGCGCCCTTAGCGGGAACCGAACCCCGGTCTCTCAGGACCGCAGGCCGATGCTCTAACCGCTGAGCCAAACCGGCCAGGGCGGAAGCGGGGTTCTTTCAAGTGTGTTCACAGGGCATTTGGAAAGCTTCGTAGGAGAAAGTCGTGCAGTTTAGCCGAGACTAGAGCTTCTGTTGGAGGGTTCTTAGTCATGCGTAACCCCCTCATTTCTGGGTTTTTGCTCCTGTCCAGCCACCGAAGGAAAGTTGGCAGCAATGCCTTTACAAAAGAAAAGTGACATCACCTACTTCAAAACGATGCCCGATCTGCACTCGCAGCCAGTCCTCTTCATACCCGACGTCCACTTCGCGAACCTGCAGAGGACAGGACAGGTATGAGCTGCCGGCTAACATCTACCTGCCGCCCATCGGCCGGTAGCGCCTTAAGATAGAATCCCTTCAGACAGTATTGACCTTAAAAAATAAAAACGACACTCCGCATTTGACAGAGCCTGTCATCCCCCACTGGGAATGGATTTTTATACAAAGGAATGTCTCAGAGAGGAAACCAACTTACTAAGGGCAAGAAGAGAATGAGCTGATATTAGTGACTTGTTGACGAAGCAACAAGGAGGAAGAAAGTTAGAAGGCTGATAACCCGTCAGAAGTTTTGTTAGTTTCCTCATGAGGGATCAGCCTGATGCAAAAGAGCTCCACCGAATGGTGGGAAATTGAACTGTGCCTATAATTTCATTCAGTTACACAAGAAAAATTCTTTAACTAAATAAAACCCTATCAACAAGTTTCCCCATAGTAAATGAACAGTTCCCATTAAATAGCTAAATCATTTTACACCAAAAGAAAAGTGATACTGTAGACAAGCCTTTTATAAAACAATCCCTGTCTTCTAGGTATAGCTACAAGTGAAATGAAAGCATTAATATTAAAATAACATAAATGTCTAATAATTAACTCATTATGGTAGCTCAAGTTGATGGACTATTATGTGGCCACTAAAGTTATAATGATGGAAACCATGGAGCAAAATGGGAACTAGTTATAATGTTTAGTGAAAAAAAGTAGACTACCTGTTTGTTCTATACAGTGACTACAGATACATATCTGAACTTAAAGGAAGCAAGGACAATTATAACACTTGATGATAGGGTTATGATCTAGGGATGATTTTTTTCTTTCTGTAATATCTTTAGTATTATTTACTTTATGTGAAGAACAGAATATAATACTTACATCTCTAGTATTCGCCAGAATTGTCTTTCACTAAATCAATTGGGTTTTAGTGAAACTTGTGTTGTTTAGTGTTCTTTAAACCCGAACTCCTTTGAGGAAATCTGGGTCGGGAGCTAGGGGCCTACTGACGCACGCAAGTGCTTCCTCCATTCTGAGGGTTTAGACACTCACTGGAATTGACCTTAATCTGGCCGGAAAAGTCATTATTGGTGTCACTTTCTCTTTTGGAAAATATGTGCCCTTTGACATTGCATTTGATATGTATGAAACATATGTATGATATGTACACAGCATGGGAACAAAATACCCAGAGCTTTTTCTTCGAGCACATTCCACTAAAAACAAATTTAACGTGCTATCTTGTCTTATTTGTTTGATAGGAACAAGGACACAAGAGGGAAAGGAAGAGTGTTATGATTTGTCAAGATGTGAGGGCCAGCCCTGGCCGGTTTGGCTCAGCTGTTGCAGCATCGGCCTGCGGACCAGAGAGTCCTGGGTTCGGTTCCCGCTAGGGGCACGTACCAAAAAAAAAAAAAGATATGAGGGCCAGCTCCAAATTTTCTTTTTTTAAAAATCCCCAAGAACATGGTGGTGCCTTGTGTATTTACAGTCTTTTCTCCCTGGGATCTTATGGGGCTAGGTTTTCATCGCTTCTGCAAGAGAGGAAAATTGAGTTAAATTGTTCTTATTGTTTACTGACATGATTCTGGTTTCAGCTTCATGTCAAAGCTGACAGCCTGACCTATTCTCTTGGCAACGTTTCTCTGAAATATAAAAAGCTGTAAATAAATCTTCAGAGAAAAAGGGACCCAACCTGGCTTTCCATGACTGTCAGTCGTCCAGCTTCTCCTGCCGCCTCTGTTTTCTGAACTGGGCTCCCAGCCTGCGGCTGAATCCAAAGGAAAGTGTAGCCTCTTACCGTCTGTTGGTTTCGGCAATTGCAAACACTGTCCCCCACGCACGCCACAGGTGACGTTAAGTCCTGCCATCTGGGGTCCACCCTCGCAGAGCCCTCAGGCTTTCCCTGGGCCCTTGGAATCAGAGTTAAGGGATCAGTGAGGGAGTCGGCCTGAGCTCTAGGTGGCAAAGGAACACCTCATGCCCTGGTACGATGCATGAATATTCAGTGGTTGGTCAACTTGCTTGGCCAAGGAAAGGAGCGCCTACTGTGGCTGGCTGGGACTTTAAGGCCTGCCTTTTCTTTTCTTTTTTTCTTTTTTTAAATTTATTTTTCTTTACTGATTTTAGAGAGAGAGGAAGGGAGATGAAGAGAGAGAGAGAAACATCGACAAGAGAGAACATCGATTGGCTGCCTCCTACATGCCCCCCACTGGGGCCTGGGCCCACAATCTGGGCATGTGCCCTGACCAGGAATCGAACCAGCGACCTCTTGGTGCATGCATCAGTGCTCAACCACTGAGCCACTCCAGCCAGGCAAGGCCTGCCTTTTCTTAAAAGAGCCAGAAGCCTGGGCTGGGTCCAGAAATGGCAGGGAAGACAGCAGTGCCATAGGAGCAGAAGCAGATATGGGGCAGGAGTTGGCAGAATTTGACATGCAGAACAGGAGCCAGCAGCGGCAGGCCAAACTATGGCCAGTTCTACCCTGCGGGTGGGCAGAGGAGGGGGGATGCAAGCGACAGTGTACAGCTCGGTAACCCCCGCAGGCATGACCTTGTTCGAACTAGGCACATGCAGCTCTGCCCCTCTGCAGGGCGAGGAGCCCTCAAGTTCAGTCCTGAGACACCCTTGAGCAACAGTTGAAGGCACATCACCCCTGGAACAGTGATTCCTAGTCACCCAAGGACACCAACTGGAGATGGGGATATCACTTACAGCCCTCATGTACCCTCCTGCCCTGCGATCTCACTGATTCACATGTGGGTTGGAATATTTACCAGATGATTATCAAAAACTAATGTGAGGGAATGAAGCCACTGTGTAAGCACTGTGGAGATCATCAATCTCCCTCTCTTCACATTGAAGTGCTGGTTTTCACTACAGCTTTTGTCTGAAATGCCTCTAAAAATGAGTGATGAGGAGCTTGGGGGGAACTGTGGGATGCAGAGGCATCATCTCCCTGGGTAATGTACACTCTGCAGGGACCAGCCTTCCTTAAAGCACTAGAACCCAAGGCGGGGCCTCGTCTCCCTCACACCCCCAGGGCAGGCCCCCAGCTGTGGTTTGGAAGCAGTCTTCCTCCAGATCTCAGAAGCTCTTGGTAAGGGTCTAGGTTCTGAAGTCTCATTCTAGGTCTTTTGAACTCAACTCTCCGAAGGGGGTTCCAGAATGTGCATTTATGACAAGGTCAGCAAATATTTTTTATGCACTCTGAAATTTGAGGAACACTACAACATTAAATTAGTGCAATAAGTCCTACAACGGACAAAGAAGAAATAGTGGCTCATTCTGTGAATGAAGGAGAAATGGCAATGCCAGGATGGGGACAGGGACAGTGTAGTAGCGGCCGTCCAGGAGGGCCAGAAAGCACTGAAGACAAGGCTGCTTCCATCTTTGAGTCACCAGCCAACTTTGCAAAGAGTTGTCCATTACCCCGTCATACAGCCAGGCAGGGCAGAGGCATTATGCCACATTTAAAGAATCCAGGAAAACCCAGGCCAATATCAGGTACTTTTTACAGAAAACCCAGCTGTGTGGCCAGGGCTGTGGCCCAGGTTCCCTCACTTATGTGTGTCATTCCGTATGCTTCTCTAGGTGACAGTCCCATTTCAATGACAGATTCTGTGATGCCACACTGAAACTTAGGGTGTGGGGGGAGGAAAACCTTAGATTCATCATTTTCTATTTAAGAAGAAACAAAGTATACAATACAACAATAGACATAAACAATTTTAAGAAGGAAAAGTTCCACGTGGATATCAGAGCAAATGACTAGAATGACTCATGCCCGGAGACTTCCAGGTAACCAGCTCTGTTATACAACTCAGGCTGGGCTTGGCAGGGTCCCAGGAACCACCAAGAGCCTTTGAGAGTGGTAGGGAGGGTGTCCGTTCAGGCACAGCTGTTTCTTTCCCAGGCCACTGGGGCAGGGATAGTGACAAAATGTACAAGAACTAGGGGCGACTTTTGTAGTTAATATGTGTGTCCGATACTGACTTGGGTATTGTTCTCCACCCAAACAAAAATGGTCCTGAAGCACACCAGTCTCATGAAAGACCTACAATTAATTTTTTATAAATAATTGCATGAAAAGAACCTAGGTACATAGCAGATCCCCTCAGGAGTTTTCTTGTTGCTTAATAAAATGATGGGGATGCTTACTAATTGTTCTCCTTCTGGTTCTGCTCACCGCCATGCTGACCACCTAAAGGAGTCTTTTCTTAAAGATCTTCCTCTGGCCAGAAATACCTTCAAGAGCTAAATGACCTTTCCCAGCTTGGAGACAGTGGACTCCTAAATTTCTGTGGTTGCTGGATACCAGGGAGGTTCCTGCCGCCCTGCCATGGGACACTCCTCCCTCCTGCCGCCCTGCCATGGGACACTCCTCCCTCCTGCCGCCCTGCCATGGGACACTCCTCCCTCCTGCCGCCCGAGTAGTGTCCAGAGTCAGCTCACCTGTGGACTGGGTGGCCTTGCTTACTCACAGGCCCCTAGAGCCCTTCGAAACAGTGGTTTTAGATCCTGCTAAAATATTTCCTTATTGTCAAAAGTAAGGTCTGGCTTAGGGCTGTAGGTAATCTGATCAGACTAACTTAAACTGAATTTTTCATTTTATTTCATTAAAGTATAAGAATTAACCCTACAGAGAATATGAGGTTAAATTTGTATTGCCTTAGACACATGCATACACAGCATCATTAAACAGATTTGTCTTTTTTACGAGACAGTGCAATGCCTCAGGAAAGTCTGTGCAACACATAATGTATTTCCATTTCTGTGTCTGACCTACAGCAAGCCTGTTGTTTTGTTCCACAGGTGTATTACAACACGGATGATGAACGAGAAGGGTAAGACACTCAGTTCCTTCGCTTAAATACCCCAAGTTACTTCATTTCAGCAGCAACAGCTCTTCAAGCAGTGGGTAACTGCGGGCGGGGGGAGGGGGGGCTCCTCTCTCCTCCAGACTCAGAGAAACGCTTGATTCTGGGCACTGACAGGAAGGCTGGAGGAATGCCATTTTCCTTCCATCTCTCTCTCTCTCTCTCTCTCTCTCTCTCTCTCTCTCTCTCTCTCTCTCTCCGTCCTCTGATCTGCCTTTGAATAACTAGAGATTTTTCTGAACGACACATATCTTCCATTCCACTTTTTTACTGATAGTCCAGCTACTAAAACCATGTTTTGGCCCTAACACAAGAACGCGCTGAGCTTGAGGTAAGAGCCGAGGAGACAGCCTACCTGCTTTCAGTGTTGCCTGGGCCACCTGCACGTACCCCTGAAGCCCCGCTCTGGGAAGTGAGCTGGGTAGGCTAGAGGGAGGCTGGTTTGAGTGGGAGGTGGGAAGGCTGAGAACCTCTTCAATGTCCTTAGGATTGTAGGTAAGAGAGAGTTTACTTAGGGTCACCGAAGGCTCCTGATGTGTTGCATGTCAAGACTCTGCCTAGTGTTCTATCCACAACTCATTTGATAGACTCCTAGAATTTTAGACCCAAAAAGGAACCTTCAAGGTCATTTAGCTGACCCTCTCTCCTAGGCAGTATAAATCCTTGAGAAGCCAGCTTCCACTTGAATATTCCCAGTGATAGAAATATCCTGAATCTTCTCACTGTGCAGGAGGTAGATCACTACTGTTGGATGGTTCCAGCCCTCGGGAAGTTAGTTTGTTGAACTGATGTCTACCTTCTTTGGACTCCTGCTCGTTGTCTCTGGTTGTTTGTAGGACCTGAATGCTAGTTTTCTCTTAAAGCAATCTACCACTACGTTCATTTTTCAATACCCACGTTACGTTACATATGTGTACCTAAGATCTTGGTTTGCATTACATGTGTATAAGTAAACATCTCTAGATCACTTTCTTCCAAACTGTAGTCAAACCAGGGCTTCCCTATTCTTATATAATTAATATATTTACCTCTACAACATTTCAAGGTGAAGTAAATACAGCAGATATTCCTGGAGTGGAGGTGGGCGGACAGCCCGAGGACCCACCACCTGTTTATGCATTGTTCACAAACACTTCTAAGCGGTTGAACACGGCCAGGGGAATATTACATAACACAGGAAATTCGAGTGTTCATACATAAAATGTAATCAAAACACAGCCATGTTAATTCCTTTATGTCTAGCTGTGGCGAAGACCACGTAACCTGGGAAACCTAAGTGCTTACTGATCTGCCCGTCACAGGAAAAGGGTGCCACCTTCTGTCCTAAAGGAGGAGGCTCTCCAAGGAGTCAAATGCTTCCCCAGCTGGGTAGAAGCAGAACCTTGTCCAGGATCTGACCTCTAAGCTCTGAGTTCTAAATTTTCTAAATAACGAGATTGTTCTTTTTATCTTGGCACATGGATAATATATTTCCAGTGGCTGGAAGGAACAGAAATGATTAGCACTATCAGGCCTAATCTGTTATTCACATGTTTTACAGGGACAGGGTGGCGTCAGGAAAGAACGTTACTCTGAGTTTAGGAAGCCCACGTTCTGCTTCTGGGCTGTGGCTGGCTAATGTGAAGCCCAAGGCTGGCTCCTTGACCTTTGAGCTTTGGTTTCCTCAATTGTAAAATGAAGGTTTTGTACAAGACGATGATCGCTATGATCCCATGTAGCACTAACATTCTGTTATTCTCCCGGGAAAACTTATCATTATGTGTGAGAAGTGCCTGAGATCTGAATGGTGCTTCATGTGCAGACCTTAGTTAATCTGCCTCAGCCTAAATTGGCCTTTCTTGCAAGTTGGCAGTATTTAGGTGGCCAATACACTTGGCTTGGCCTCTCTGTAAGAATTACCCCCTGTTATAATCTTGAGGGCTAAGGTCTCTGACTTTTATCCATCTTCTAATTAGAGGTCAGTTGAGCAATGTGGGCAGCCTTAGAGCCTCAGTGTTAACCTAGAGTAGGCACTTGGCTCCTGTTACTTGTAAAAGGGATAGCGCTCACTGGGTCCCTTGGCCAGCCACTGTACGAAGTACTTTATATGCATTAAAGTTCAGATATATATTTGGAATCACTGTATAGAACAAGTAGGTATTCTACTTTGTTTCACTGAACATTATTATACCTAGCTCCCATTTTGCTACATAGTTTCCGTCATTATAACTTTAGTGGCCCCATAATATTTCATCAACTTGAGCTACCATTATGAATTAATTATTAGACGTTTATGTTATTTTAATATTAGCTCTCTCATTTCACTTGTAGATATACCTAAAAGACAGCAATTGTTTTTTAAAAGGCTTGTCTAAAGTATCATTTTCTTTTGGTATAACATTATTTAGCCAAGTAATGGGAACTGTTCATTTTTTCATTGAATTCTCCCCAAATTCCCATGTCTTTTACTACATATACATGAAAAAATGTGATTACAAATATAGGGCAGTTTTCCAAGGAGAAAATGAAAACAAAAATTAAATCTTTTAGGCCAACTTAAATAGATAAATCTTTATGGATGTAGCCCAAAGTATCAAAGATCTACTGATACTTGTTTTGTTAATTTAATTACACATGCATATTTAGAAATACCTGTCATTTTATGAAACACTTTTATTTAGATTCTTCACAATTCATCTTTGACATCAGTGTTTTTCTTATCCATAGAGTTGCTTTTTGTCATTTCACAGTGTTAGGACAATTCAAAGTTGAGATACAACACTTTTTAAATCCATATATATGAGATTGTCATCAGAAAATTTGTTCTCACAAATATTGATTCTCATAACATTAGAAATAGTTACATAAGTGATAGCCACAACGTTCCCTCCCGGTTTAAATTGTTTTTCATTAAATTTTATTTTGAGATAATTATAGATTGACATGCAGTTGTGAAAAGCTCACCTTCCTTTAGATTGACTTATGTTTGTGTTTTACTGTTCAATATTACATTTAAAAACCCACCCAGTAATGCCCAAATCTGTATCAGATATAAAAAGGGTTTAAAAAATGTTTTAAAAAATGAAAGTCATTTTTACCAGCTCTTAGAGTCACAGGTTTTCATCAGTTTCTTACATTAGTACCAATTATTCTTGCTTGCATACAAGTTTGCCATTTTGCAAATTGGAAGATAAAAATTTAAGACATTTTAGTGATGTTAATTCTTCCTATCCATGAGCATATGCTTCCATTTATTTGTATCTTCTTTAATTTCTTTCTTCAGTATCTTATAGTTGTCCAAGTATAGGTCTTTTACCTCCTTGGTTAAATTTATTCCTAGGTTGGTTTGCTTTTTTTTGGATGCAACTTATAAATGGGATTGTTTTTCTTAGTTTCCCTTTTTGATAATTCATTACTGATGTATAAAAATGCAACTGATTTCAGAATATTTATTTTGTGTCCTGCTACTTTACTGAATTCCTTTATCAGTTTTATTATTTTTTTTTTTTTTTTTTATTGATTTGACAGAGAGAGGAAGGGAGAGGGAGAGAGAGATAGAAACATTGATGAGAGAGAACATGGATTGGCTGCCTCCTACATGCCCCCCACTGGGGATTTGGCCCACAACTTGGGCATGGGCCCTGATCAGGAATTGACCTGGTGACCTCTTGGTGCTTGGGTCGATGCTCAACCACTGAGCCACACCAGCCAGGCCCTTTATCAGTTTTGATACTGTTTTAGTGGAATCTTTAGAGTTCTCTCTATATACGATATCATGTCATCCACAAATAATGGCAGTTTTACTTCTTCCTTTCCAATTTGGATGCCTTTTATTTATTTATTTATTTATTTATTTATTTATTTATTTTTCTTGTCTGATTGCTTTGGTTAGGATTTTCAGTACTGTGTTGAATAAGAGTGACGAAAGTGGATATCTTTATTTTGTTCCTGAATGCAAGGAAAATGCTTTTAGTTTTTTCTCATTGAATATGGTTAGTTGTGGATTTGTCATATGTGGCTTATTATGTTGAGGTATGTTCCCTTTATTCCCACTTTGCTAAGAGGTTTTATCATAAATGGGTGCTGGATTTTGTCAAATGTTTTTTCTGTGTTTATTGATATGATCATATGATTTTTATCCTTCATTTTATTTTATGTGGTATATCATGTTCATTGATTTGTGGATATTGTACCAACTTTGCATCCCAGGAATAAGTTCTACCTGATCATGGTATATTCTCTTTTTAATGTATTGCTGCACTCAGTTTGGTAATATTTTGTTGAGGATTTTTGCATCTATGTTCATAAAAAATATTGGCCTGTAATTGTCTTTCTTTGTAGTGTCTTTATCTGGTTTTGGAATTAGGGTAATGCTGGCCATGTAAAATGAGCTTGGAAGTCTTCCCTCCACTTAATTTTTTGGAATAGTTTGAGAATAGGTGTTAGTTCTTTGAATATTTGGTAAAATTCACCTGTGAAGCCACCTGGTCCAGGACTTTTGTTTGTTGGGAGTTTTTATTGATTAACTGCTTCAATTTCATTGGTTGTAATTGGTATGTTCAGATTTTCTGTTTCTTCTTGATCCAATTTTGAAAGATTTTATGTTTCTATGAATTTATTTATTTTATGCAGATTGTCCAATTTGTTGGAATATTGTTGTTTATAATATTTTCTTATAATCCTTTGTATTTCTGCAGTATCAGTTATTTCCCCTCTTTCATTTCTGATTTTATTTATTTCGGTGCCCCCTTTTTTTTCCTTGATGAATCTGGTTAAAGGTTAATCAATCTAGTTTATCATTTCAAAGAACCAGCTCTTGGTTTCATTGATCTTTTGTATTTTTTTTTAGACTCAATTCTGTTTATTTCCACTCTCATCATCATTATTTCCTTTCTTGTACTCATTTTAGACTTTGTTTGTTGTTCTATGTCTAGTTTCCCTAGGTATAAGGTTATATTGTTTATTTGAGATTTTTCTTTTTTCTTGCG